ATTTTCTTAATAAATATTACAATATATTTCGTGTCCGCAAATTAACAGAACTGCTACTCATTTGAACAACCTTTAGATGTAAAATATTAGATTTTGTAGGATCGATTGTCTAGCTATCATACAATTAGGGCAATTATGGCTATGGGTGTGCGTGGTCGGATTTTAGTGGTCTCTTGCACAATATTATTGAAAAATCCGTCGGATCTATAAATTATATAATGGTAATTTAGAAATATAACATTAGTAGCAAGTAAAATTCAACCAAGAATATGCATAAGAACGTTGAATAATAGAGAAGATGATTTTGGCTATGGTTATAGCCAATATAGGTTGGTAGTGAAAATGCTAACGTAAATAAACCAAAATAATGCACTTCATTTAATAGTAGTACTAGATTTTCTATTAAGAACTGATTAGCATTTAAGTTTGACAATACATAAGTCAGGGTAAAATCGAAATATTTTTATAGATAAATTAAATATATGTAAATTATCAAATCGCATATAATATGGGGCAAAAATGTGGTGATAATAATAACTTTAAAAAGTATATATTTATAGTATATTTAGCTTCTTTCCGCTAGATAAAAGTGTAGGCCGAGTACAAGTACACTACATTTTTGCTAATTTACATAACAATTTGTGACAATCGAAGCAACTATGTGCCAAAGTGGTCCAAAGATGTATATAAAACTTGGAGAGCAAAAGGGGCGACTTATATTGTTTAGGATTAAAGACATAAAGTTTGTTTAGGAGGCGATTGAAAGATTAATAATATACGATTAGATTCAAACAATGATAATAATATTATAGCTAAAATAGAAGGGGAATTAAAAAAAAAAGGCAAAAAAAGCAAGAGAATGTTGAAATTGGGGGACAATAGCTTTGGATTTTGGCCAGTATGTCTTTGTTGGACCCTTTTGTGGGTTGCTTTTGGTTGTTAAGAAGAATAGACTTTAGTGTTTTTTTCACAATTCTTTGATGTATAAACTAAATGAAAAGAGACTTGTTCGACCCATGACTTATATATTACTCCGTTAGAATATTAAATTAATTCAATAGAAATTATAACTAAAATATTTTGTTAGAGTTAATATCCATTAGAATATTTAGTGGATTTTATCGATTTTAATGATAATTTTTTAATTGTTGAAATATGTTATAACAAATAAATCTATTAAAAATTACACATTTCAACGAAAATTTATAACCTTTGCACAAATAATTGTATGAATAAAAAAATTCCAACTAAAGTTGAAAAAAAAATTAAACTCTATGTTAGAATTTTTCCAACAAAAGTTATATAAATGAAATACCTATAGAACTTTAAATTGGAATTTTTTGCTGCTGTAATATGGAATTTTGTCATAGTATTGTTTTTTTAGAGGTCAGAAACAAAATATGAAATTAATAGAGAAATGCTATAAGTACATAATGTTGTACATAGGGGTGTATATAACACTTACATTGAGTGGGACCTACCAAAAATAAAAAATCAAGTGGACCCCACTCCATGTGTTATATACACCTCTATGTACATTTATTATGTACTTATAGCATTTTCCAAATTAATGTGCACGAAATTATGTACTTGTAGCATTTTTACAAGCGGCTAACAAACCGATTGAAACAACTATACAATTGAATTCAGAGAGTGACATAGGCGACGATAATACTATCCGAAACTTAGAATCAACTAAACTAATAGCACCCACAAACTGCAATAATACTAAACTAAACTTCCACAAATAAAAAATTCTAATTCGAATAATAAAGAACAAGAACATAAAAAGACATAAAAATACACAAAAACAAGAAAAAACCTAATAACTATACTAAACTCCTCACCAACGTACACACCCCCCACTACGCCTATTTGATATATATGTTAATCTCCTCCTTTTTCTATTATTGTGAATTGCCGTATGGGGCGGTGAGCGTAACTTTTTCCGCTTTACTTATTAATTTCTTTATTTTTATTTTTCAAAGTTTTGGTAATGGTTAAAGGTTCAAGGATAAGAAGATGCACAAAATAAATCGAAAGTACGAAACTTTAGTCTAACTTTTAAAAGTTTCTACATTGATTAGTTATATTTGACAAAATCAAAGTATATAAGAATCCGGCAAGACAAGAAAGTGCACATGCTGACAGATTGCACCTAATCAAGTCGAAAATTCAATATGCATTTTGGAAAATGCTTAAATGAATGTCTCTTATTTCTAAACAATGTATGTAAACCTCAAAGAGAGAGAAGATACAAAGACTATATTCTTTTTGTTAGCAAATTAGAAGAGAATTCCCATGCATATTGTTTGTCTTTTTTTTTTCATTTTTTTAAATGATAATTATATTAAAAATTTACAAATTCAATAAAAGTATACCGAGGTCTCAAAGAACACCATTACAGCTAGAACAATGTCTGGATGAACTTCTTTAAAGTTACATAGGCAACCAATACAATCACCCGCAAAGCAAAAACTCCATAAAGGAGACAAAAGAACGAACTCCATAAAGGAGACAAAAGAACTCTATAAATGAGACTAAATTTGAGACGCAACTGGACTAAAAATAAAAAATTAGAAGAAAAACAAAACACAAATACAACACATACTTATACAATATACTAAAGCCCTCCTCACAGTCGTCTAACAACTCACAACGAGAACAACACCTAAAAATAACCCCATGGTAATTGACTTATGAAGTGTGGAACCATTCAACTGCTAAACTTGGCTTTTGAATCACTGACTAAACTTGGTTCAAGTGACTTAACAACTGCTAAACTTGGCTTTTGTTCTTTAACATGGTTATTGACTTATGAAGTGTGGAACCATTCAACTCAAGTTCTTATCGCCCATTATAAAACTACAATAAGAATTTATATATCACATAAGAAAACATTGGGCATTAAATAAAATAAATAGACCAACATTCTTGAGTCCTCCTTGTAACCTTTTTTGGCTTGAAAAGTAATGATTATCTTCTAACTATGAATTGGGACACTTTACTGTTCTATTTGATCATATACTTGCCCAGAATCAACATTAATAATTGGTTTAGTTTCACACTTTGATGGACTCATCATACTAAAAGTTTCTATTACTTAGTAGAATTCGTGGATGGACTAAGATTAACATTGACAAATCACAATAATAGTTGGTGAATAAAAGCAGAACAAAAGAGAGAAACCCAAAAAAAATCCAATGTGCTTGACCCATTCCAAAATCAAAATGTCCAGGCTGCAAAGGGATGTAAGAGAGGGCCCATTTTTATTATTTCCTCAGAGGAAAATGATTTTGATTGGAACATGTCTTTCAGAAAGTTGATATGGCCATTTTCTCTCATCTGTTTTGCCAGGCTTAGGCAAGGAGGAACACACATTCCGTGATTGGCATTATTTTCAAAGGACCCATTTTATATTTAAGATCCTCTTATTATTATTATTATTATTATTTTGGTGTGTTATTTATATATATATATATATATTAGAAATAGAAAAAATAAGTATATATTAAAAAAAAAATATCCTGGTGTGAGAAATATAAACAACAACAAACACAATTATAACATAAATTTTGTGTTTGTATTCTAAATCATGTTATGATTAGGTTAAATTATTAAAGTTAACGTTTTTTCTACCTATTTTCTTAATTTTGAAGTTTATGGTTGTATCCTATT